GCCTGCCCTGCGTGACGTTGGAGCCGAGGCGCTGCCAGCCGCGGTAGTGGGAGGCAGGCGACAGCGCGATGCGTCGCTTCTCCTCCTCCTGCGACCCGTGCGGCGCAGCAGCGGCGCAGCGGCATGGAGCACAACCAAGTGAGCGCGGCAGGCCTGAGACGGCCTCGCCTGCGCCAGTGACGGGCAGCAGCGCTGCAAGCGGCATGGCGTGTTGTGCAAAGCAGCGGTCTGCTGCCGGCTTACCGGCAGCCCAAACCAGCGCCGCGCCTGCGCCATCACGCCCTCCGCCAGCCCCGCCTGCAGGCCGTGGCCTTTGGCATAGAAGAAGCCGACGTTGAGGCAGGCATTGTGCAGCGCGCTGCCCACCGCCTGCTTGTCTTCAACGCTCTGCAGCAGCGTGGCGAGGGCACAGGTAAGAGCAAGCGACGGTGGCGGTGGCGGCAGCGGCGCCAGCGCTGGAACCCTACCGCTGTGGGGTTGACAAGCGGGGCTATATCAATGACGGGCAAGCGTGTGAAGTCCTCCGCCTCTCCCGCGAGGCTGGAGAGGCTGCGGAGGGGCGCCAGGGCGGTGCACAGGCCGCGCAGGGCACCAGTGCGCAACAGGGCCATGATAGATGACCTGCGATTGACGACGAGATCAATAAGCCTCTGTACCTCTCGCCCCAATGGAGTGGAGGTTCTCAGCACGGCCCAGCAGGAAAAGAAACGAGGGAGTGATAACAAGGCCTATCCGGTTGATTGGCTTATCACATTGCTACTGTCCCGCCTTCCAGGCCCTAGTGCGCCGGCAATCGCCCGCCCCACGCAAACCCACTCACGTCCCTCGCACCACCGAGCAGTATGGCGTGCAGCATCTGCAGCAGCAGCATAGTCCTGGGAAGCAGCAGCAGCAGGTCGGCCCTGCGGCCTGCACAGCGGCGTGCCGCCTGCGGCGGGCGGCGGCGCATGGCGGCGCCCGTCGCCTCGCTCGACGGCACCACCATCACAGCTGTCACGCAGCAAGCAGTGGCCTATGGTGCGTTAAATGTGTTAGACAGCGCCAGCGCGATGCTGCTGGGAGATGCTGCAGGCAGGCGCTGTTGAGTTGCCGCTCATCATGCCATGCATGCATGCCACCGTTCCGCTACCTTCTCAAACAACACTGTTTGTGCTCCACGCAGTGGCGGTGCTGGGTGGCGAGGCTGCCTTCACTGGCCTCTCCACGGATGCCAGCACCCCGGGGCGGCCCACGCTGGCGGAGACGCTGACTGGAGTGGCGGGCACGCTAGGGGTGCGCTGTCCACGGCACGGCGGCGCCGCGTGTGAAATTGCTGCAGCTGCTGCCATGTGAAGCTCAGCTTTACGGCATTAATTGAACCCTGAACTCACATACTGAATCTGCCCTCGCCCCCTCCCTGTGCCCGCCCCTCTCCTGCAGGCGGTGGCCATGGTGCAGCAGCCCGGCTTTGTCGGGTCGGCGGGGTGCGCGGTGGGCGCGCTGGTTGCGGCGGCCATGATGACCGTCATGCTGAAGCGGGTCCAGGCCACGCCCTACAACCCCGTCGACTGGCCGGGCGCCAAGGCCTGGCCCGCCACCATGGGCCTCATCTCCTTCTTCGCCCTCGCCGCCTTCTTCCAGGCGCTCACCGCGGCGCTCGGCTAGCGGCACGGGCGGCGGCGGCAGTCTCCTGGCAGGATGCTGATTTGCAAGCTGCGCGTATGTGTTGCATCTTATTTCATTTGCCATGCGGAGCGATCTGGTAATGCCAGGCTACCAGCATGCTGCACCACACAGCTGGAAGTGCGGGGGAGGCGGCGGCGGGTGGCCGCACAGTGATGGCGGCCTCAGAGTGGTGGCCGATATGCAGTCCAGCAGCTGCAAACTGCGAAATGTGATCTGTAGGCGGAATGGAGCACTGCGGCACCGGCCCCAGGGCTCTGGAAGCCCTCGAATTGGCGCGCCGCCATTCCAGCAGCAGGAGGAAAGGAAGAGAGTTCTCGAAGAAGAACCGAAGGGGGGCGGGTGCCGCGGGCGAGCCTCATTGCTGCGCAGTCTCCTGTCTGCTCGCATTCTCCTGCTCCTGTTTCATCAGCGAACGCCCGCAGGCAGGCCGCATCCCACATTCAGACAATCAGCCAGTTGGCCACACCGTCAGAGGTGAGCAGGAACCAGGGTTGGTTACCCTGCCAATCCAGAATGGCAGGCGGTGCTGGGACAGCGCCAGAGGTGCTGGCGCCATCAGCAAATGCTGACCACGGCACTGAGCGATCAGCGGCCTTGGGCGCCTGATGCCCGCCCCACCACGCTTCCCGAACCCGTGGGGCGTGGCGGTGGGCACGCAGAGTGGCTGTGCGCCGGACTCGGCCCTGCTGCCGCCGCCGCCAGCGGTTGCCGCCGTCTCCGGAACGCCGTCCCTTCGCCTTCTGCCCTAGAGTTGCCAGCCTGGCCCGCGCAGCCCTTCCCTGGCCCAGGAGCCCTTTTTTGCTTCCATGGGATGCCTAGAATTGAACCTACAGTGCTCCTAGCTGCCCCTGGGCGCTGCCTCCAACTTTCCCGCCAGTCCCAAACCCACGCCACGTGCGCCCTCCTGCTGCAGGACTAGAGACAAGATGGCGGGCGAGGTCGAGGTGAGCGCGCGCCTGGGATGGCCGGCCAGTTTTGGTGGCCAGACGGTCCATTGCATCACCCTGCTGCTCTGATCCACTCCCTCGTGCCTCGACCGACGGCGACTGACACCTCCATGCTTCCCTTGCTGTGCACGCCTCCCGTCCCCCTCCCCTTCCCGAGCCCAGACCTATGCATTCCAGTCTGGTGCGTGCCTGCGCCTGCGCCCCTGCGCGTGAAACCGAAAGCAGGCCTGCCCGCCTGCGCGGCAACTGCGCCCTCTGCTCCCACGCATATACTGATCAGAACCCCCCCTGCCCCGCCCTTCCCCGCCTGGCGCAGACATCAACCAGCTCCTGTCGCTGATCATCAACACCTGTGAGTGGCGCAGCTGCGCCCGCCGCCTCTCTCGCCCTGCCACCCAGCCTGCCTGCCTGCCTGCCAGGCCGGCAAGCTTTCACCCAACTCCCAGCCCTCAGCCCTCAACTTTTCTGCTGACTTTGGCACCCCCTCTCCTCTCCTCTCCTCTCCACCCCCACCCCCTCCTCCCCTCCGCAGTCTACTCCAACAAGGAGATCTTCCTGCGCGAGCTGATCTCCAACTCCAGCGATGCCCTGGACAAGATCAGGTGCGGGAGGGGGGGCCGTAGCGGCGGCGCGGGGCCGGGCAGGCATGTTTCGCGGTTAGATACCACCTGCACTGGCGCCTGGCGCCGGGCCGGCCCGCGCATTGGCTGCGCCTGCCTGCCCCAGCCTCAGCGCATCGGCCCCCGCCTGCCCACCCGGGCCTCCCTTCCCCGCCACACTCTTTCCTCCTCCCGCTCCCGCCCCACAGTACCGCCTCCCAGCCGCGCCACCACACGCCGCCAACCCCCCAAACGCTCACCCCGCTCACCCCGCTCGCTGCGCACACCCATGCCCTGCCCGCAGGTACCAGAGCCTGACCGACAAGACCCAGCTGGACTCCAACCCGGAGCTCTACATCCACATCGTGCCCGACAAGACCAACAACACCCTCACCATCACCGACTCGGGCATCGGCATGACCAAGGTGGGCGCCTGCGCCTGCTGTGGCGTGTGTGGTGTGGTATGTGTGTGTGTGTATATGTGGTGCGTGTGTTTGTGGTGTTGTGTGTGTGTGTGTGTGTGTGTGTGTTGCGTGCTGAGTGGGCTGCCCCCCCAGCACGGTGCCGCGGGTCCGGCTCCCCTCCCTGTCCGCTCCTGCTGCGCCAGCCCCCCTTCCTCTCTGTCACTTTCTCGCACCTCTCCTCATACCTCTCTCCTCCCTCACTGTCGTTCTCTCCTTCCCTCGCCCTCCCCCTCCCCAGGCCGACCTGGTGAACAACCTGGGCACCATCGCCCGCTCCGGCACCAAGGCCTTCATGGAGGCGCTGTCGGCGGGCGCAGACATCTCCATGATCGGCCAGTTTGGCGTCGGCTTCTACTCGGCATACCTGGTGGCAGACAAGGTGGGGGAGCGTGTTGGCGTGTGTGTCGAGCAAGAGAGGGAGTGTGTGTGTTTGTGTGTGTGTGGTGTGGCTGTGTCGGTTTCATGCATGGTTTCCAAGGGGGCGGGGCACGGCGGGCTGGGCTTGGGGAGGCAGGCTGCCGGGTGCCTCCCGCATGCCACGCCGGCCGCCGTGGCCCCCCTGGCCGG